AATATGATGTGACAATGATATCACAATGATGTGATAAGACTGGAAAAGTGATTGATCATTTAAATATTTATTAAAAAACATTTACTAAAACCCCTTTTATTGGTTTTTTTGATGGGATATATAACACTTGCAATCATTATTACCTCTTTAAGTGTTAGAAATTGAGTTGACGTCATGTCACTCTGCACCATCTGGGCAACAGTATGAATCAGTAAAAACAAGCAATGCTCATTGAGCCTACAATACAGTTGAAATAGGCAATATTTCTATCCAGTACATTTCTCATATGCTGATACTGATATTTCGGATGACCAGCCGCTGTCTTTGAAGCTCATTAGGAGCTAAGCTGCATCATCAGATTCCTAGTAAGACTAAATTTAACGAGACTAAGACTCGACAGAGGCTCTGTGGGGCTGTCCACAGTGATGCTTTGAGTTAAATGTTAACATGTCAATGTGTAGCAGGTATAATGTTTAGTTTAGCATGCTAACATGCTTATTAGCACTAAAAGCAAAGTAAAGGGGGGGCTGATGGGAATTTTTAAAACTTTTACAGGTATTTTGGTCATAACGTTAACCTTGCAAGGCTGCTGGACTTGCAATATCACATGAGAGTCCATCTTGACAGGTTTCAAGCTATGCTTGTGTGTCCAACCCAAGTGTGAACTTATCGTGATGTCACCCATGTTTGGTTTGTGGAGAACGAGTTTGGTATTTTGGCCGTCACCATGACAGTTACACGGAGCCAGAGGAGATAACGGACTGCGAGTTGAGCTGTTCCTATCGGCTGCACAGTTTGGACTTGTCCGTAGCAGGAAACAATGGCAGATCGCCTGGTCACACACAATGTTGTATTTCAGTCCGACACTACACTGAAATATGTTTCTGAAACGATTTTAGGCAATGCAGAAACAGAAGCTTGATTCATATCTGATCAGCACTGCCTAGTTTGACAGTTTGATCTGAGTTTTGTGTGCTGCGCTGGACAGACTCTGAGAATGACCTGTCAGTCATAATATACCATAAATAGAAACAATAAACATTTTAGGAAACTGTTTACTGAGCTAATAAATGAAGTGAGCAGTCGGCTCATTCTCTGTTAGAGTGCATGGTATTGTTTGTTTTATTGAAGCCAATGGAGCTCCCCCTGCTGGCCATTTCCAAACATTTTCCAACAAGGACTTCCCAGATAGTTCTGTCAAACCATCTGGCACAGTAAGGTTATCATAAACAGTGTTAGGCTAGTTACTCAAAAAAGGTAATTTATTACTCATTACTCTTTTCAAAAGTAATAGTATTACTTTACTTATTACACCCTGCCAACAGTAGTCAGTTACATATTAGTTTTATGACATTGCTGCTACTCCACACAAAATTGGGTTAGGTAATTGTGTTCCTTCTCCCCAAAATTCCGATTTACGACGATTAAAATCCAATTTGGTTTGTTAAAATCAAAGTTACTGATTATTTCCCTCTTTCAAGCTAGTTTCCTCCACAATTACAAAAATGTCAGGAAAGAAATATTATTACTGAAAATAGTATTAATAGTAATGCCTTACTGTCACTGATCATAAAGTATTACACATTAAAATTTTGGATCATCAAAGTTATTACAATCCAAGTGAACATGAATATCTGAAACAGATTACGTGGCAATTAGTGATGGGAATTCTGGTTCTTTTTAGTGATCCAGATCATTTGGCTGAGCTCACCAAGAAGAGCCGGCTATATCGGCTCCCAAATGGCTCTTCATTTTACCACTTATACCTTTTATAATTCAGCCAAATTTTGCGCTGTTTGCCCAGTCTGCTCTGATTGGTCAGCATTATGCAGGGATGACACTCCGGCCCCTCCCACTTCCACCTCAGCGTTGCCGGTGTTTTGGCAGGTAGCTCTTCACTGTTACTGAGTTTATCTGCATTTCTACCGTCAATATTAATTCAATAACTGCTTCTAAACCAAAACCTTTGCCACCGGACATGTTAGAGCGGGAGTCTGACCTGAAACCACAGAGAAAGGAACAACATCAACAATCAGGATTACAGCTTTCTGTGACGTGTTCCTCAGGTCAATACTGCTATATATTTATATATATAAAAACCTTTATCTATCACATAATGTTAGTGTTCATACCTTAACTATGAGAACCAACACTGTTTTATGCTTGTCTTTACAGGTACAGCAGTGAGCAGTGACCTACAGTCTACACAGCCCAGTAAAGTTAAACATATTATATATTACATAATATTAACAACATTAGTCAAGCAGTTGTTTCTAGTGAAGAAACACCCAGTAAAGGTACCAAAGTAATCAGAGTAATAGTATAATGATTACTGTAACCTCCCATCTGTTATATTCTTTATACACATTAGTTTACTGAGACCATGGAAACAGAAACCTGGAATACTTTATCCTGTACAACATGTCAACATAAGTGAAGGAAATACTCATCTAATAAAGTAATTTGTTTATGTGGTTTAAAAACTGCTATGTAACCAACTGTACTGTATCCATATTTCATAGTCTGATATTTTAACTTGAAACTATTATTACCAAAGTTAACCTGCAATTATGTTTTTAACCCCATTCATCTATATTATTAATTTATATTATATATATGAGACAGTAATGTATTGTGTTACTTACAGTCATTTACTACAGGTTAAATTTCACATTTTCATATTGATAGATGTTACAGGAACCAGGTTTTCAACTTTTCTACATGCAGAAAATCTTCATAAAACCTCTGTGAAATAACATGTTATTTATATAAAACCATACTTATTAATGAATTTAAAAATGACCAAAACTCTTCTTAAAAGTAAAACACTTTATTTATGTTTCATTCATATTCCAGTTACACATGTTGTAAGTAACAAAGCTTTAACTTTTATGTAAGCTGTGCAGATCATGTCCTCCATCAAGGTTTATGGTTTTTAGTATACTGAAGTGTGAGCTGGTAATGGAGCTCTGCAGTCAGTGTTCATCTTCATCAGTCTTCCTTTGGATACCCAGACTGTCCTGATGCTGCAGCTGTCTCTGTCCTCTGATGGGTCCAGGAACACCTGAGCTTCATCAGGTCACCTGTAAAACATGGAAGATTCAGTGTTACTTGTAAGGCAGCATATAATATACAGTATAATATAATACAGTATAATATAATACAAGTACAACAGCTCATTGTGGCTCACAGTAGTCCTAAGTTATAATCTAAAATAATAAAGCAGTGTCTCTGGTGGTTCCTTGTTGCAGCTAACTGTAGTGATGTGTTGTTGAAACAGTCTGAGGTTACCAACACAATGTCTATCTAATGGCAGCAGATACACACACACACACACACACACAGGACATTTACTGACTGTAGCTGATGTTGTGACAAGTTCCCGGTGCAATAACAGGCATTTAGCAGTGAGCCTCTGTGTTGTTTATTATAGGCCATTATCACGCTGATACGTGGTACTTCCGCATTCAGTGATCTTTGTGCACTGCCACTACCGGTGAATCATTCATCACTCTGGCCAACCCATGATGGACGATCCTAAGTTTACTTATACTGCATCCCTGCTAAATTTACCCAAAATAACTTTTTCTGACGTACATTGACTAACTGAACAACACTCCATCACAGCCCGCTCCAAAGTGGACAAGGGATACAGTAATGCTAGCTAACATAACATTACATTAGCTAGGTAGGTTAGCTTATGCTAACGTCAGTTTGGCTTCAGCTCAGATTCAACAGCCATGTGCAATAAATTGCTATACCTTTGTGACATACGTACGGTATGCAAATATCAATATCATGATAATGTAACTTTGCATTTAAATTTGTTAATATCCTGTTTGTTGAATCCAACATGTTAATGGTGTAAGGGGTTAACTACTCTACTGCGGTTGCAGATTTCCTAGGATTTTTGGTTAATTGTAATATTATTAAAATTACATTTCTATATCATTTGCAACAAGATTTTCATTTTAGTTTAACTTAATCAACTAAAATTATTAGTGTTGTGTCTTTAATGTAGATTGTTTTCCAAGCTGATGCAGCCGAACTTCAAGAAACCTCATGCAGCTGTACAGCAGGCAAGGTTCTGTGCAACCATCTAGTGGCCTTGTTGTTCCAGAGTGCCCATTACAGCATGTTGCAGGTGAAGGCTGTGGTCTGGGATGATGTTTACATGGGCAGGTTGATTGGAGTGACACTAGTTCTAGAGGTCTACCTTTGATTGTTAACAAGCACATCCTCAATCCCAGTTTGCTCTTCTATCTCTTGTTCTGCAGGTGAGAGTTCTACCACCACCTGTGGCCTGCACAAGCTCTCTGCAAACATGGCGTCGACCAAGGACAAAGGTAACATTGTAGCCGCGCGGAGCTGCACCGCATTGAATAGACTTCCAGTCTATTTTTAGAAAATAATAAAAATAAAAAAATAGACTGGAAGTCTGGCTACATTGGTTAACATGTGAGTGAATTAGAATTCAATTCAATTCAATTCAATTTTATTTGTATAGCACCAGTTCATAACAGAAGTTATCTCAGGACACTTTTCAAATAGAGCAGGTCTAGACCGAACTCTTTATAACATTATTTACAGAGACCCAACAGTACCACCATGAGCAAGACCTTGGCGACAAGGGCAAGGAAACACTGCCTGTTAAAAGGCAGAAACCTAGGACAGATCCTTCGGCTCTAGGTGGGTGGTCGTCTGTCTCGACCAGTTGGGGTGAGAGAGAGAGAGAGAGAGAGAGAGAGAGAGAGAGAGAGAGAGAGACAGAACAAAAAACGAGAGACAGACAGACAGACAGGTGCACAGCAACAACAGTATTGGCAATGGCAGTCAAGCAGGACCATGGCAGGAGGCTCCACCAGGATCAATAAGAACCTGCGAGACGAGAAAGCACAAGAACTCCGGGGAAGAAGTGAAGTTAGTAACATGCATTAATGGGACATGAATGAGTGCGTTCTGAATTAATTGGAGCGTTTTAATGGACTTATTGGGGCAACCTGATAATAAAGAGTTGCAGTAATCCAGCCTTGAAGTAACAAATGCATGGATTAGTTTTTCTGCATCTGTCTGTGATAGTATGTGTCTAATTTTTGTAATATTACGTAAATGAAAGAAGGCAGTCCTGGAGGTCTGCTTTATGTGGGAGTTAAATGACAAAGGGCGAAGAAGATCCTCAAACAGCCCAGTCACCCCGGACACGCTTTCTTCTCTCTACTGCCATCAGGTCGGCGTTTCCGATGCCTGAGGACAAAGACTGAGAGGCTGAAGAAGAGTTTCTATCCACATGCCATCCGCCTGCTCAACTCTGAGCCTTAACCGGACTTAAAAAAAAAACAAAAAAAAGACACACTGTACTTTACTCACATAGCTGCTTTCAATACTGTAAATGTGTGTGTGTGTATATACGAGCTACTCCCCTCTAAGTTTTACATTTGGAGTCTACAGTCTATATTTTATATGTTATATTACGATCTATATTTTATTTTATTTTTTTCTTAGTTTTATATTTACACTTACACAACATATTGTTTACCTTGTGTGTTATGTGCAATCACTACTGTTTTACTGTAGTAGTATTTTGTTTTTCTTTACTACTGGCTGCAGGTACAAAGAATGCATTTCACTGTGCATTGTACTATGTATAACTGTGCATGTGACAAATAAAACATCTTATCTTAGCAAGATACTATTACAATCATGACTACTTGTTAATATCATTCCCAGGGGATCCATGCAGAGCCGGTTCAGGACTTGGTTGTTAGGGGACCAAAGCCATCCACCAGGAGTGTATGCAAATCAACACTCTATCACAGGTAATGTTACTACTGTAACTAATATTATACTGTTGCCTGCCGTATAATACATAATTGTATCTTGCCACTTTTATACACATAGATTATGTAGCAAATATAAATATAATAATATAAAACCAAAAACAAGCTGCAAGAGATGTGTGGATAATTTAACACTTTTAATTTTACGTTTCAGGATCCCTCCCTGACCCGCAAGTCTTGTCTCTTGGGAAAGGACTGAAAAACCTCAGGCCGCAACCACTAATATCCTCAGTGCTGCATGGCTTGTCTCAACTCTCCATGGTCGACTCCAGGTTCGGACCTGTGCCGCGAGGTTCACCCCTGTCCTGCCAGTGTCCTCCTGTGGTCAAACGCGGAAATTATGTCCAGCAGACACGTGAGCAGTCTGAGTGCCCATTATGGCAAGCTTTAAGCAAGCCTAGAGTGACAGCTAGTAGGTTCTATGAGGTTAGCCATGTGAAAGGGCCGTCTTCTGGTCAGATCCTGGCAGGGCGGATACTTAAGGGAGTACGCCAAACTCCCGCCGTGAAAAGGGGCCTTGAACGCGAGCCACAGGTGCTGGAACAATATTCAAAACATTTCAATGTAAATGTCTCACGCTGTGGATTTGTTTCCATCCTGATGCTCCTCACCTCGGGGCTAGCCCCGATGCAAGGGTATATGACCCTAGTGCCATTCCGTGTTTTTGGCTTGCTGAAGTTAAATGCCCAGACATCTCTAGCATTTCTGAGGCAGGACATGTAAAAATGGTGAATGGTCAGGCAAAACTGAAGCAGAATCATAAATACCACTGGCAGGTTCAAGGTCAATTGGCAGTAACTGGATTGAGTTGGTGCGATTTTATAACAGACACTGAGGGAGACTTCACAGTCGAAAGAGTCTGGAGGGAAGATGAAATGATAAAAGAGATGAAAAATAAGGTGGACCTGTATTTCTTTGGTACATATATGAATGTGTATCTTCAGCAGAAAGTGAAATGAACTGAATGAATAAAGGAACTGAATGAATAAAGGATTTTATTAATTCCCTTTTTCTGAGTACATTATTTACTACATTATTACATATTTACATTATTTTGAATACTTTCAGGATTTTCATTCAATTATATACATCTCATTCAATATATAAAATGTTTTCAGTATACAGTTAAATGCATGTGATCGGGGGAACCACTATTCAACAGGGATGTAGCCTTGTAAATCAAGTGGTCCCTGGATGTTGGTCATCACACAGCAGACGGTCCACAGTTGGTTGACTGTCCCAGACAAGGTTAGAGGGAGAGTGTGTTCCTAGATGCGGTATTCCTTGACTCTGCATATTGCTCTTTCCACGAGGATTCGAAGTTGGGCGATTGCTTGTGTTTTTAGAGCATCCTCTTTGGTGAACTGCACTGTGGTTAGAGATGAAATAAGTTAATTTCTATTATTTCAGTGAGTGCCTCAGTACTTTTTAAACATTTGTCTGCACATCTTAATGATTATCATTTTGGTCACAGTTTTAATTTGAAATGTTCATAACTTTCATGCCAACCTGTCATCTTGAAGGGTGGTATAATCAGTGTTGCCCCACGGTCAGCGAGCATCTTCTCGATGGTGAAACCCTTGTCTGCCATGTAGCCATCTCCTGGCTCCAGTAAGTCGAGCAGTCCACTTCGTTCAGTCAGCTCTCGGTCAGAGATGGAGCCGGTGAAGAGACTTGACACAAAAGTCACAGCACTACATGGGGAAATCCCAATTAATCCCTTCAAGGTTGTCGTGTTTTTGTACGATGAGAAAACCTCTGACTGGAGAGTGAGGGATGATGGATTCTGGCATTGCACCTCGGTGCAGTCGATGATTACCCGAACATCTGGACTGTACTGCACAAATTTGCTTGGCATGGTGTTCTTGACTTGCTGTTTACTCATCCAGATGGGAAGGGAGCCAAGGAGCAGGTAAAGGTAGTTGGCCCACGTTATAACAACATGGGAGACAGTGGACACACTGACCTGAAACATGTCAGCCAACACCTTCTCATGCAGGCCTGCAGCAACTTGGCAGCAGAAGAGAAAAAGCTCATCAACCAGTTGCAGTCTACGCGTTGGACTGGGAGAAATGGGTTCAAATGTTTGTCCCTTTTTCTGAGCTTTCGACTAACAAACCACCATGGAAGCGGATGGTTGAATAGCCTCCCAGAAGTCACAAAAAACATCTCTTGACGTGAATCTTGTGTAAAAAAGGATGTCCTTGTCTGAGACACAAAATCGGTGAAAATGCACTTGACCCACTTTCAGCTGTGACAGCTCTGTTGTCAGCTCGATTTCGTCTTCCAATTGCTGTATGCGTGCAGCAGCAGCATCCAGTGTACCTGTATGAGATGAGAGAAAAAAGTAAAACATTTGACCCAGATTTTGTCTGTGACTTGCATATTGGAAGTAGTTTGGACCTCTAAAGCTACATGAAATAGCGTTTTATAGCTTAATATTCACCTTTACGTTTAATCAAGTAAGATATAAAATGCAACGTTTGTACTTGTGATGAAGCTTTTCACATTGTGGTATTGGTCAAATGAAGCTGCAACCTCCTCCATCGCCTCTTCCTCACATGGCAGGGGCTGCTCCAGAGGAAGGGCTGGGCAAACGTCATGGCCTAAGCGAGTTGATGCTCTTTTATAAGCACACTCCCTTCTTGGCAGTCCCGATTGTTCTACTGGAAACGGGAGGGCACAGACCCGATTTTCAGACGCTTGATGCGACCCCGGTTGGTAAAGTTAGCCACGTCAGCTAACGCTAGCCTGCTAGCACTACCTGTAACGTTAGTGTAGTCTGATTCACTAAAGTGCCGGCTATAAACAAACGTGCTACCTTGTTTTATTTTAAAGTTTGGCCCTTCATCCCAGCGAACCGCTTTAATCCACTTCTTAATTAGACTCAATTCAGTCGGGAATCCATGAAAACTTAATTAGGGTTGGCGTTGTTTGTTCGATTTACAAAGTGGAACAGAGCAGTGACATCTAGCCTTCGTTTCAGCCGTTTCAGCCACTGCGCCAGAAGTGGACAAGTTGACAAATCCCACCCATGAAACCCAGAAGCGTGATAATCCTCTATACAATAGGAGATGATATGTGTATAAGATGTTACAATGGACCTCCATTTATATCATCAGTAATACCAGTACTGCAGTAACACTAAATATATGGATCAGAAAACTTTTATTAGTCGGTTTGACTCCACAAAACAGTCTAGTGAGCATCGAAGTTACACAATATTACTAAACTAATGAATCCCTGCAGTTTGACTATTTCTCTCTCACAGTAGCTCTATCGTGAACTCCGGTGCACGTAGATCAAGTTCATTTACACACAGGAGCACACACACACACACACACACACACACACACCATAACACAGACACGAGAAGTATGGCTCTGGAAAACAACGAAGCTAGCCCCAGCTGGTTAGCACGTTAGCAAGTTACACAAGAAGTAAATAATCACCATAAGTCACTCCCGGTATTTTGGTAGCTTCTAACGAGGGTTATCGATCACACTGCCCCTCATATTACATCATAAAGTCCGACAGACTCAGTAACTATAGTAACACAGTGACATCACAGAGCTGCTGTGTGCTAATCAAAGCTACAATGCTACCAAACAAATGACCTCCGCTGCTGAATTTCATACACAGTAGTACGGTGTCTTCTTCTGATCACAGCTGTATTGATCCACACGGTGAACAGATACTGAGCTACCCAGCAGATAATAAGTTACCAGGTTAAAGACAATTAAACCTAACTGACGTTATCTTCCCGGTTCTATGCAGCTCAACGAGCTAACAGCTGATGAGCCGCTACAGTTTGTTAGCTCGGAGGTTTTCTGCTCTTTCTAACAGCGACACAAACATATTACTGACTGAGCACTTTAACTAAATACAGACCAACAAAAAAAAAAAAATACCCCCAAAAAAAAACCCATAATTTATTTTTTTAGGGACCCCCCCTAGAAGGTTTTTTGTTCTACGGGATAAATTTTGTGTGAATCTCTATAAAAATACCAGCAGGGAGAATAAGGAGCACCACCAGCTGGCTTAATAACATCATAACATTAAGTAAATTTCCTTGTTGGGGAACATTTGCGGTGAAAGGTCGCAAACACAGATTCTGACAAATGTGTAATCTACATTTAGCAAAAAAAAACATGACTGAGTCAACGTTTTCACACTTTGCCTGCTGATAGGCCCTAGAGTCCCAAATGTACATAATCAAATGATTAAAGGGACATATTATGCAAAACCAACTTTTTAAAGGACAGCTATTGACCTTTCAATTATTTTTATTTAAACACACACCCATAACAAAACAA